AAGGGAGGTCTGAAGGCCTTGGGAGGGTGCTCTGGGCCTTCTCAGGGGATCCTAAGTCCAGAGTGGTGACCAGGGGGTTTGGGATAGCAGGTGCCACGAAAGGCCTTGCTTGGAAGCCTTGGAGCGCTGCTGCCAAAGAGAGCAGGCTGGGCCGGCCTAAGCAGGCTGTGGGTCTTCCTCAGTGTAAGGCGGCTTCTCATGCTTTCTTCTCAAAACGGGGTTCAGTCTCATGAAGCTGCCTCATACTGAATCAGACTTTTTCTCTCTCAAGTTCAGTATTGTCTGCTGAGACTGGCAGCAGCTCTCCAGGGTCTCAGGCGGAGGTCTTTCCCGTCACCTGCCGCCTGGTCTTTTTAACTGGAGATGCTGGGGATTGAACCTGGGACCTTCTGCAGGCCGAGCAGATGCTCTTCCCCTGAGCCACAGCCCCTCTTTACAGCTCTCCAGGGTCTCAGGCGGAGGTCTTTCCCGTCACCTGCCGCCTGGTCTTTTTAACTGGAGATGCTGGGGATTGAACCTGGGACCTTCTGCAGGCCGAGCAGATGCTCTTCCCCTGAGCCACAGCCCCTCTTTACAGCTCTCCAGGGTCTCAGGCGGAGGTCTTTCCCGTCACCTGCCGCCTGGTCTTTTTAACTGGAGATGCTGGGGATTGAACCTGGGACCTTCTGCAGGCCAAGCAGATGCTCTTCCCCTGAGCCACGGCTGCCTCACCTGAGTTGAGGTGGGGCTGCTAATCTTCCTACCATCTTGCCAGTGGCTCCCTGTGACGTTTTTGTCTTTCTCTCTCTCCCTCTGTTTTTATTTAAGGACCAAAAGAAGAAACTGTGAATGACTTCTGGCGAATGATTTGGGAGCAAAACACAGCGACCATTGTCATGGTGACGAACTTGAAAGAGAGGAAAGAGGTAAGCGGGTACCAGAGAGGCTGCTGTGGCCGGTGGGTGGAGAGCAGCAGAGAACGTAAGAACATCAGAGAAGCCAATGTTGGATCAGGCCAGTGGCCCATCCAGTCCAACACTCTTGTGTCACACAGTGGCCAAAAACACCAGGTGCCATCAGAAGGTCCAGCAGTGGGGCCGGGACACCAGAAGCCCTCCCACTGTTGCCCCCCCCCCAAGCACCAAGAAGACAGAGCATCCCTTGCCCCAGACCGAGAGTTCCATCTATAAGAACATCAGAGAAGCCAATGTTGGATCAGGCCAGTGGCCCATCCAGTCCAACACTCTGTGTCACACAGTGGCCAAAAATGCCAGGGGCCATCAGAAGATCCAGCAGTGGGGGCCAGGACACCAGAAGTCCTCCCACTGTTGCCCCCCCCCCCAACCAACACAGAGCATCCCTTGCCCCAGACCGAGAGGTCTTGACGGAACCTGCTCTTTTTCAAGGACAGCTCTTATCAGAATTATGGCTTGCCCAAGGTCATCCAGCCAGGTGCAAGTGGAGGAGTGGGGAATCAAACCCGGTTCTCCCAGATTAGAGTCCGCGCACTGAACCACGACACCAAACCCAGAGCCTTCTTATCAGATTGTTGAGCTGGGTCGGCCCTGGTTACTACTTGGATGTGAGACCACCAAAGAAGTCCAGGGCTGTCACGCAGAGGCAGGCAGTGGCAGACCACCTCCAAACGTCTCTTGCCTTGAAAACCCTGCGGAGTTGCCGTAAGTGGGTCGCAGCTTGATGGCAGCCCCTCCCCCCATTAGCCTTTCGTGCCTCTGCGTCACATTTCCCGCTAGCTTGTCACTGACCCACAATCGCGGGATTCTTTTTTCCCATGCGCCCCTGCCAGACCACACACTCCCCATTCCTGTGTGTCACATTATTTTCGATTGAATGTAGAACTTTGCATTTTTCTCTGTTGCGTTGCGTTTTCTGAGGTTAGAAATCTGGAGTTGAAATGATCAAGGTAGTTTTGAATTTTATTTGGTGTCGTGGTTAAGAGCACGGACTTTAATCTGGGAGAACCGGGTTTGATTCCCCACTCCTCTGCATGCAGCTCCTGGGTGACCTTGGGTCAGTCACAAGTTCTCTCAGAGCTGTTCTCTCAAGAGCAGTCCTCGAAAGAGCTCTCCCAGCCCCACCTACCTCACAGGGTGTCTGTTGTGGGGTCAGGAAGGGAAGGAGATTGCAACCTGCTCTGAGACTCCGAGTGAAGGGCAGGGTATAACTCCAATCTCCTCCTCCTCCTCTTCTTCTTCGATATCTCCTGTCTCCCTGTTTTGTATCCCCTTTTGTCCAAGTCCTTGATGAAAATGTTGAACAGCCTCACTTGAGAGCTCTGTCCAAGTTGAGGAAGTGCTATAGTTACACACTCTTGGAGTGTGCCTGCTCTCACACACACTCTCGTTGTTCCAGTCCAAAATACCCACTTCTGCCACGGAAGCTGGCTGCGTGGCCTGGGGCCAGTCACACACTCTCAGCCTAGCCTACCTCACAGGGTTGTTGTGAGGATAAAGTGGCGGAGAGGAGAATGGGGTCAGTCTCTCTGGGTCCCCACTGGGCAGGGTATAAACGAAGTAAATACATTTATTTCTATGCCACCTTTCCACCCAACTCAGGGTACCCGAGGTGGCGAACATTAAAACGTTTCAAGCATTCAAATGAATAAACTGCAGAGATGCAGAATTGGTGTACGTGAGGCACATCAGCAATGCTGCCTCTAAGCTGTGGAGTCTTGTGAGCAAAGATTCTACTCTGTGAGCTACCGGGATTAGAGCTGTGAGTGAGCAATTTGGCTACTGCATCAATTAGTTTGCTCTGGAGCCGTCCTTCCTGAGCTCAGACAAAAATGTGTGAGCCGGAAGCTAAAAAACTAAGCTAGCTCACACAAACTCAGCTCAGGGCTATTTTTGGGCAGGAACGCACAGGAACGGAGTTCCGGCTGGCTCCCAAGTTGGCCACACCCAGCAGGAACTCATTAGCATAACAGGCCACACCCAACAGCAGGAACTCATTAGGATTGGCTACATTAGGGGTGTGTGGCCTAACATGCAAAGGAGTTCCTGCTACAAAAAAAGGCCCTGGGTTTTGACCACAAACAACGTAAACAGAATAAGAAGCAAAAGGTGGGTGTGGCTGGATGACCACACTTCTGGTAACATGGGGGTGCGGCCTAATGTGCTAATGTGCTGTGCTGTCAGGGGCGTGGCCTAATATGCTAATGAGTTTCTGCTGCTGGGTGTGGCCTATTATGCTAATGCGTTCCTGCTGGGCTTTTTCTACCAAAAAAAGCTCTGGAGGGGACACTGCACATCAGTACCACTATCTGGAAATACTCCTCATGCTGCACACATGGTTGGAGGTAGTAGGTAAACAGACAGGGGCCTGGTGGAGCCCACACTGCAAAATTGAAACTCTGCGGACATGCTCTCTTTTGTGCTAAATCTTTTTTGGGGGGGTTATCTTGTTTCTTTCCAGTGTAAATGTGCCCAGTACTGGCCAGATCAGGGCTGCTGGACCTACGGAAACATCCGCGTGTCGGTAGAAGATGTGACCGTCTTGGTTGACTACACCGTGCGGAAGTTCTGCATCCAGCAGGTATCGCGCCTCGTTCCTCTCTCTTCCCTGCCTCCTCCTTCAAGTATTTCCCCAAGATTTTCAAGCTAGATTGGTGTGATCGGTGCCTCCGTATCCAAGCTTGCACCTCCCCAAATGCTGCCAGGCGGCCTTGCGTTGTTTCCGACGATCCGACGCCCCCTTTTTGTAACCCCGTTTCCCGCCCATCCACCCAGGTAGGCGACGTCACCAACAAAAAGCCCCAGCGCTTGGTGACGCAGTTCCACTTCACCAGCTGGCCCGACTTCGGAGTCCCCTTCACTCCCATCGGGATGCTGAAGTTCCTGAAGAAGGTGAAGACGTGCAACCCACAGTACGCGGGGGCCATCGTCGTCCACTGCAGGTCAGTCTTGGGGGCGGGGGTCTGTGTGTAGGAGGGCTCCCTGAGACAGCCAGAGTTTGTAGGAGCCCTCCTGGCAGTTGTTGTAGGTTAGGAGCACAGACTCTAATCTGGGCGAACTGGGTTTGATTCCCTACTCTTTCACTTGCAGCCGGCTGGGTGACCTTGGGTCAGCCATAAGTTCTCTCAGAGCTGTTCTCTCAAGGGCAGTTCCCGAGAGAGCTCGGGCGGTCCTCAAGAGAGCTCTCTCAGCCCCACCTTCCTCCCAGGGTGTCTGTTGTGGGGAGGGGAAGGGGAAGGAGATTGTAAGCCGTTCTGAGACTCCTTCAGGTAGTGAAGGGTGGGGTATAAATCCAATCTCCTCCTCCTCTGCTCCTTCTCCTTCTTCTCCCTCATAGGGCCGGCATCAGCATGCCAGGGCTCAGGGTTTCTGGTAGGGCCCACTTTGGCTAACCCACCCTCACCCCCACCCATGCACCTCTCCTGCCACCTGTCCATGGGCTTCTCCCTGCTCATTGGCTCACAAGGGCTCCCCCTCCCCTGCATTCAACATCCCAGCATTCGTGGGTAAGTATGTGCATGTGGTGTGGAACGGCAGCACGCCCAGCGGCCTCAGCAGCAGCACTACCAGCCATGTGCCTGAGCCAGGGCTGCTGGGGAAAGGGCATGAATACGGCACAGGCAGCCATGGGTTTCTGGTAGGGCCCACTTTGGCTAACCCACCCTCACCCCCACCCATGCACCTCTCCTGCCATCTGTCCATGGGCTTCTCCCTGCTCATTGGCTCACAAGGGCTCCCCCTCCCCTGCATTCAACATCCCAGCATTCGTGGGTAAGTATGTGCATGTGGTGTGGAACGGCAGCACGCCCAGCGGCCTCAGCAGCAGCACTACCAGCCATGTGCCTGAGCCAGGGCTGCTGGGGAAAGGGCATGAATACGGCACAGGCAGCCATGAACACAGCTAGTGGGAGGGCCCGTGAGCCGGGGAAGGGAGAGAACCAGTGTTCCCTCTAAGCTGAGTTAGTGTGAGCTAGCTCACAGTTTTTTAGTCTCCGGCTCACTTGTTTTTGTCTCAGCTGAGGAAGGAGGGCCCCAGAGCAAACTAGTTTATGCAGCGGCCAAATCGCTCGCTCACCACTTTGATGCCAGGAGCTCACAGAGCAGAATTTTCTGCTCACAAGGCTCCATGATTTAGAGGGAGCATTGGAGAGAACTGCAATGAGAACGATGCCATTGTCGAGAAGAGGCCGTGGCCCAGTGGAAGAGCCTCTTGCTTGGCGTGCAGAAGATCCCAGGTTCAATCCCCGGCCTCTCCAGTTAAAAAGGACCAGGCAGTGGGTGATGTGAAAGACCTCCGCCTGAAACCCTGGAGAGCCATTGCCAGTCTGAGTAGGCAATACTGACCTTGATAGACCCATAGTCTGATTCAGTATAAGACAGCTTTACATGATGGGCTGTGGCTCAGTGGTAGAGCCTCTGCTTGGCACGCAGGAGGTATGTGATTCAATCCGCGGCAACTCCAATTTAAAGGACCAGGCAGTGGGTGATGTGAAAGACCTCCGCCTGAAACCCTGGAGAGCCATTGCCAGTCTGAGTAGGCAATACTGACCTTGATAGACCCATAGTCTGATTCAGTATAAGACAGCTTTACATGATGGGCTGTGGCTCAGTGGTAGAGCATCTGCTTGGCATGTAGAAGGTCCCAGGTTCAATCCCCGGCATCTCCAGGTACAAAGGACCAGGCAGGAGGTGATGGGAAATACCTCTGCCTGAGACCCTGGAGAGCTGCTGCCTGTCTGAGTAGACAATGCTGACCTTGATGGACCGAAGGTCCGATTCAGTGTAAGGCGGCTTCATAGGTTCATGTGTCGTCGTCATTGTTCCTCCTGGAACCTCCTCTCTTCCCACTCCCCTCCCCCATGCCGCTGTCCCATGGAAGAGCCTGCCACCACAACCGTGCCCGGTCTTGTCAAGGCCAACAAGGCACCTCCTCCATGAGTGCCCACGCCACCCCTGCAGTCCCAGCCTCACAGCTCCTAGGCACACCGTCGGTCTAAAGGTGCCCCTCTCTAGAAGGCAATTCCACACTCTTTTCTGGCCGGAGGGGAGCAACGTTCTGCTGTTCCATCTCCAGATCTCAGAATTAGCACAGCACTCCTCTCCCCCTTTCTGGATTAGCACACTTGAACACACACACACACATGAAGCTGCCTTGTACTGAGTCAGACCCTCGGTCCATCGAGGTCAGCATTGTCTGCTTAGACCGGCAGCAGCGGAGGTCTTTCGCACCACCCACCGTCTGGTCCTTTGGCAATGCCGGGGACTGAACCCGGGACCTTCTGCATGCCAAGTAGATACCCGACCACTGAGCCACGGCCCCCTCCCCTAAAAAAAGTGGACCCATGAAGCGGACCCTTGGACATTTGTCTACTCAGACTGGAGGTGGCTCTCCAGGGTCTCCGGCAGATGTCTCACCCATCAATTCCTACCTGGTCCTTTTTAATTGGGGATGGCGGGGATTGAACCTGGGACCTTCTGTGTGCCAAGCAGATGCTCTTCCACTGAGCCACAGCCCTTCCCCAAACGTTACACATACATATACACATGAAGCTGCCTTATGCAGAATCAGACCCTTGGTCCCTCACGGTCAGTATTGTCTACTCAAGACTGGCAGCAGCTCTCCAGACGTCTTTCACATCACTTACTGCCTAGTCCTTTCAACTGGGAGAGCTGGCAAGTATGGGAGGAGACAGACCCTCAGTGGAAGAGCCTCTGTTTGGCATGCAGGAGGTCCCAGGTTCAATCCCCAGCTCCTCCAGTTGAAAGGACTAGGCAGTAAGTGGTTTGAAAGACCTCTGGAGAGCCAGGCACCATACTGAGCTCCCGGAGGACATCAGGGCCCCATGGGACCTTTTACAGTTCCGCAGGGCCCGCAAGACGGAGCTCTTCCACCAGGCTTTCGGTTAGGGAGCCGCACCACTTAGAGTGAGGCCCAACATCAACAGTAACATCAAACTCAATATTATACCATCAACAGCCTGGCACGACCCAGACCAGCTGTCGGCATATTGTGATTGCTGCAAACGTCGGCCATTGTTACATTAGTTGTACTAGCATTTTATAATTTATTATATTTAGGACCAGAGCTTTTTTTGCAGAAAAAGCCCAGCAGGAACTCATTAGCATAACAGGCCACACCCAACAGCCAGAACTCATTAGCATATTGGGCCACACCCCTGACAGCACAGCTCATTAGCACATTAGGCCGCACCCACATGTTACCAGAAGTGTGGTCATCCAGCCACACCCACCTTTCCCTTCTTATTCTGTTTACCTTGTTTGTTCTCAAAACCCAGGGCCTTTTTTTGTAGCAGGATCTCCTTTGCATGTTAGGCCACACACCCCTGAGGTAGCCAATCCTAATGAGTTCCTGCTGTTGGGTGTGGCCTATTATGCTAATGAGTTCCTGCTGGGCGTGGCCAACTCAGGAGCCAGCCGGAACTCCGTTCCTGTGCGTTCCTGCCCCAAAATAACCCTGTTTAGGACTGTACTGTGATTTTATCAATCTTCTTGTTTTAGTGTTTTTATACAGTTTGTAAGCCGCCCTGAGACTACCTTGCAGGGCGGGTGGGATATAAGTCAAATAAATATTATTATTCATTATTTATTTATTTTCAATGAGGAATTATTTTGCCTGTCACCTGCCTGCTGCGATCTGGCCACGTGGGTCGCTTTGCGAAGGGAGACCAGGTGGCTTGTCGGAGCTGAGTAAAAGGAGCTGTTTCTTCTCTTTCTTTCCCCACCAAGTGCTGGCGTGGGACGGACGGGAACTTTCATTGTCATCGACGCCATGCTGGACATGATGCTGACCGAGAGGAAGGTGGACGTTTACGGCTTCGTGAGCCGCATCCGGGCACAGCGCTGCCAGATGGTGCAGACAGATGTAAGTCTGGTGTGGTGGATAAGTGCGCGGACTCTAATCTGGGAGAACTGGGTTTGATTCCCCCACTCCTCCACTTGACCTTGGGCAAGCCATGGGTCTGTCAGAGATGTTCTGGGGGGGGGGGGCGGTTTCTGTCAGGGCCCTCTCAGCCCCACCTGCCTCACAGGGTGTCTGTTGCGGGGAGGGGGAGGGAAAGGAGTTTGTGAGCCGCTCTGAGACTCCCTTGGGTAGAGAAGGGCGGGGTATAAACCCAATCTCCTCCTCCTCCTCTTCTTCCTCCTCTCCCTCTTCTTCTTCCTCTTCTTCCTCCTCTTCTTCCTCTTCTTCTTCCTCTTCTTCGTCTAAGTTGGTTCTCCGGGAAGGCAAATGTTTCTTATAAGCATGGGCGGCTTCAAAAGGGAATTAGATAGGCATATGGAGCAGAGGTCCATCAGTGGCTATTAGCCACAAGGGATAGATAGGGGCTCTGGGGCAAGTGATGCTCTGGCTTCTTGGTGCTTGGGGGGGGGGTCAACAGTGGGAGGGCTTCTAATGTCCTAGCCCCACTGGTGGACCTCCTGATGGCCCCTGGTATTTCTGGCCACTGTGTGACACAGAGTGTTGGACTGGATGGGCCTTTGGCTTGATCCAACATTGGCATCTCTTATGTTCTTATGTCAGCTTTCATAGGCCAGTCGCTCACTTTTCCTTAATCTAGATTTGAGTCCGGTAGTGCATTAGGGACCAACAAGATTTTCGGGGTATCAGCTTTCGAGAGTCAGTGCTCCCTCCCTTGTCACTTTATTCTCTTTTGTAAGAGTGCCTAAAGGACCTTAGGCTGCACCCGGGAGCTGCAACCGGGAGCCCTTCTGCACACCCAGTAGGCAGCCTTGGGTTGCCTTCATCCCTTCAGCGTCTGCAGTAGCAATTGCAGTTCTTTTCTTTTTTTTAATAGACATTTTGCTAATGAGTCATGGGCAATGGAAGGGGGGTGGGCGGGCATTGAGGAGATACGGTAAGGAAATGCTGTAAAAAATGTTAATGTTTTAAGCACGTTTGTATTTTGAGGTTAAAAATAGTACCGTTAATTGGGTTTGCCTGTGCCCTTCATAAAGTTTATATCTCTGGTACCCGGCATGATGTTTTATGGCACACATGGCCTGGCCCGACAAAGTGACAGTTACGTCAGATCCCAAAATGTGTTTGACGCCTCTGCGGGGTCTCCATACATCAGATGTGATTTGATAACACTTTACACACACACACACAGCTCCCTTAGATTGTGTCTCCCAAGCCTCTCTAATCTGGGAGAACCGGGTTTGATTCCACATGCAGCTGCTGGAGTGACCTTGGGTCGGTCGCAAGTTCTCTCAGAGCTGTTCTCTCAAAAGCAGTTTCTCTCAGAGCTCTCTCAGCCCCACCACTGGGTGTCTGTTGGGGGGAGGGGGAGGGGAAGGAAATTGTAAGCCGCTCTGAGACTCCGAGTGAAGGGCAGGCTATAAATCCAGTCTCTTCTCTTCTTCTCTCTTCTTGTGGGGAGGAAAAGGGAAGGCGATTGTCAGCCGCTTTGAGACTCCTCAGGGCAGAGAAAAGCCGGGTATGAACACCTGCTCTTCTTCTTCTTCTTCCAGATGCAGTACGTCTTCATCTACCAAGCCCTCCTGGAGCATTATCTGTATGGAGACACAGAGCTGGAGGTGACCTCGCTGGAGATCCACCTCCAGAAGATTTATAACAAGGTCCCAGGGACCAGCACCAATGGATTGGAGGAAGAGTTTAAGGTACGTGGTCACCATGGCACCTCATTGCTCTGCCACCGGGGAAGTGTGCTGGCAGACCTGTCTAAGCCCATCAACCTGGTCATATCGGCTGAAAGCTGCATTTTGCTTCATCCACAAGATTATAGGATTGTGTAGGGCAGGGGTAATTTCCTGCCGGAGCGCACAGGAGCGGAGCTCCGGCAGTAAAGAGGCCAGGGGGCGGGCACATGGAACAAGCCCCACCCCCTGCTCCCAGCAGCCCTCAGTCAGAGCAAGAAGCAGCCAGGTAAGTTGCAGAGCCCCCCCCCCGGCCCCCCGGCCCAAAACAGTCCAGTGGCAACTTTTAAGACCAAGTTTTATTCAGGTACAAGCTCTCCCTCCTCTGTGAGGACAGATCTGCACGCCCCCCCCC